TTTTATTAGTAATGAAATAATAAGAATTAAATTATTTATTTAATTGCAAATAAAATAAAAGATTATTTTACTAATTAAAAACTCTAATAAACTTGCTAAAAAAATTAATTAATAGTATAAAACGTCATGTAGAAGCTTTAATTGAAATAAATGAAAACTTTATTATATATTAATAATTAGTTAAAATAATGTATTTAAAATATAAAAATTTTTATTAATTGTGATATCTTACTGTAGATATTTGGGTTGGGCAATGACATGATTTCTACTGTATATAATAACAATTGTGGGGCAACGTAATCAAAGCACGGATGATCTTTCCTTATGAAAACGTTATGTTTTTTTCAAGAATTTTTTACAAGGTGTTATTGGATTTCTCGAGTCTATTATTGTGATATAAAGATGTTAAAAATGATATATATGGAAATAAAGAATTAAAAGTTGTGCATTAAAAAGTAACGATGTTTAACGCGATGCGTAATTTCACGTGATATTTAATGTAGATTTTTTTTTTTTAAACGCGTCCTACAAAAATTTTTGTCCTGCTACCTTCTACACTGTCAGAATTCGATCTCATGGAGTATCAGGGAAATAATAAGCTGCAAACGGCGGTTCCGCAACGAAAGGTTTACGATGTGAACTCCGTTGATAACATGTATCCTTTACATAGTTTAACACGTATTATCGCGTCAACATTCCAAATGGATTGTTAAAACCCTTAAAGTATCGTCGATCTTTAGGCTGGAAGATTTTAACATGCAGGTGACCCCTACAAAATTTGTCGTCGAAGGGGAAAATTTCAAAACCAGTCCTGCAAAATCGACTTTCCATGATAGACAAAATAGAGGAAAAACGCTCGTGACTTTGAACCCTAATTTAGGCCTATCGGACAACATTGGGGTAGCGAACAGTCCATGCGTCGTTACGATACTACCTAAGCAACAATTGGAGACTTATCGGTACATGCACCAAACATTAAACGAGAAATATGAAGGTAACTATCCTGTTCTTATAAAATTTTTGGTAAAATAGGTTTAATCCTTTTGAACTGGAAATTCAGTTTTAATCGAACGGATGGAAAACCTTGCGGAGGTCATAGCCAAGCATTATGAGATCGAGATAACTGACCCTTCATCGCTAAATCAAGTAAGAATTATTCTTTAGTCAAAAGTCTTCGAATAACTATTATATTTGAATCATATTAATCCCATATACCTCATTATATCACGCAGAGTGAAACATCTACGGTGGGTAGAATATGCTGCGATTCGGAAGGAAAACTGAATCAAGAATCGGTAACGCTAGAATCATTACCATATTTTGGTGGGAAAAAGGTAAAACTAGCGATAAATAATCTTTCATCGTATGCGCTGTTCCCAGGACAGGTCTGGAGGATCTCTTTTTTTGCCTGCTTATTATGTTCGCAGATGAACAAAGTGTATTGAGCGTTAACAAATTTAGATCGTGGGAATTCAAGGAATAAACAATTTTGGATCAGAACTAAATGTGACTAAAATTCTAGAGGTAAAATTATAACCTTGATGTGATTAAAAACTGCATCTTTCACTTACTTCAAATCGGCATTCAAGATACCATTGTTACCGATGTGCCGCACTCCATCTGACACAATAATGGATTACTACGGTCCATCAAAATTAAACGGAAGACCATTGAATGTGGTAATTTCATCAGGTCCATATATGTTAGACATTGAATTTAAACTTGAACCGCTGCGTGAACTTCTAAACAAAATGTCAGCGGAAAAACCAGATGTGTTGATCTTGGTGATTATATGCTTTAATATTATCAATTCAGATTCAATTTAAAAAAATATATTGAATATGATAAATGTTGTAATCTCAATCGTCAGATGGGACCATTTGTCGATGAAGATCATCCCTTAATCCAAGCCGGTGAGGTGAATATAACTCCAGGCGAAATTTTTTCAAGAAAAATAGCCCCTATGCTCTTGGCATTCGTCCGAAAGTCGCCAAATGTAAAGTTGATTATGATTCCCAGCGTAAAAGATATATGTCATGATCATATTGCTTTCCCACAACCACCTTGGGACAAATCAGGAATTCCCGAGGTTTGTCTTTTGAGCAATTGACGACTCGATATTACTTATTTAACATATATTTCATTATACAATAGAGTATAATATGTCTTCCTAATCCCGTTCAATTTAAAGTAAATGAGGTCGTATTTGCTATCGGTAATGTCGATATATTATGTCATCTGTTTCAAGAAGAAACCGAAAGGTAAGGGGAAAAATAATAAAAAATTAATTTTTAACTTTGGGTATTCAAATAATAACTTACCGTAAAATTATGTATAGTATGTCTAGAACGGAACGTATTCCAGGAACGTCACGTCATATATTAACACAGAGACAGTAAATATCAAATATTTTTTATGTCAAGATTTTTGTGATCGACAAATGCTGATAAATCGCCTATCAGTCTATATCCACTATTCCCGCCATCAATGGGAGTGAATTTGGATCTAAAACATTCATCCAGTCTCGATTTGATCTATACGCCGGATGTGCTCGTACTACCCTCGAAACTAAAATATTTCGCAAAGGTAAGAATTTCACTAGTAAAATTCTCTGCTGTCTATATGGTATAACCGTTAAGAATATATTAGGTCCTCGACAATGTGATCTGCGTCAATCCTGGATACCTGGCGAAAGGGTCTAATACATATGCCAAGATGGTAATACATCCATTTCCTCCAAATCTTGCAAGCGAGGCAGAAGTGGAGCATTTCGTTTATCAAAGAACACGTGTAGATATTGTCAGAATCTAAGAGTTTATAATTCTGTTGTAAAAAATCATTCATCTCACCCTTTTAAGCGATACAAGTAAAACGTTTAATTTCACGCTCAGAAAATTTTAGTAAAGATGAATGACTATTAATAGAAATCAAAGAATCGATAGGAGGAATGTGAAATGATGATGAAAATAGAAAATTTGGTGAATTTCTTTAAGATGAAAAATACATCAACCGTACAGAAGACAATCTAAGATTATAATTTCTCAGATCACAACTTTGAAAAATAGTCGCCAGATGTCCCAAATATTCTTTTCACGAAGAAAGTTAATGGATTTACAATTATTTGATTTGTGTAATTGTAGTAATGGTCAACCTTTATATTTTCTGTGACATCTTGATGATCTAAAAATATCTAAGGCAAATAAAATTTTTTTTCTATACGCGAATTTTAATTATCCATCCCATCATCATCATGTTGTAGATCGCCGAATTGTCTACCCGATCCGGGAATATGACCAGATTGCAGTAATTTTTCAAGCCGAGTAACCTCTTCAAGAGTTTTTGCGTTTCTGATTGCTTCCTATTTTTTAAAAAATCGAATAAGAAATAATTCAAAGTCCAAATGCAAAGACGAGACAGAATAAAAACCAACCCTAATTTTCGCTTGCTCTTCTGCAGATATTCCGAGAGTGGGCAAGTTGGATCTTGGCAAATTACCACCAATCAACCCTTCCCCAGGTTCAAATGTTTTGGAGACCGTTTCTGAAATTGATTTTGCAAGCGAAGTCTGCTCACCATTTGACGTCACGAACAATTGTTTGGATTCTTTACGCTCCTATCATAAAAAGAAAAGGAACATAAACCATCTAAACCAAAGATCACCAAAATGGTAAAAAGATTAAATAAATACCACATCTCGAACCCTTCTGAAATCCAATACTCTAACACTTGGAATCTTCCAAATGACCCAACTTCTGTACCATTGTTTCCTTGTAACGGGATTATCTAACAAACTCAAATACTGTAGCCTCTTAAGTTCAGATAAAGGTTCCAAATCCGCTATTTCAGATATGTTGTTATTAGTGAGCACCAAGGTCCTTAAGTTAGGCAGGAATTCGGATATTTGATCATCAATACGAGTGATACGATTATTAGCAAGTAGCAAAGTTTTAACGCGTGCCAATAACGGAAAATTTCCCAAAATTCTAATGTCGTTATCTGTTAGATCAAGGGTATCATTTTGATCCTGGATAGGCGAGGTTCCCACAATGGTCAGCGAAAAATAGGATGGTACAACGATAACTATAACTTGTTTACGCTTACCTTTGTCACTCCAAGGTTTTCTATGGCCGTAATTTTATTACCTAACGTAGTATAAAGAGAAAATACGAAAAAAAGGTTCGAGTCAGGGAACAATAGGTGCATCACTTAACAAAATTCAATGAAAGTAATATTGAAATTTGACAGGGCAATGTCACGATAGTTGATCATTGCCCAGTTTCAAAGTAGATTTGTCAAAAGCAAATTTCATTAAATTTATTTTTATTTATAGATTTCCGCTAAAAGGAACAAAGACCGCCCATTCAAATTTGAATTTTCATTCAAAAAAAAAAGCACCCAGTCTAATGCTCGTGAGGTGAAATACACCAGATCTATGTAGCCCCCTATGGAACTAATATTTTACCGTCTTCAAGTGATCACGTAAGCGATTAACTCGCACCACCGTTTCAATGGGTACCACAGCAGTAACTAAATAATCTCCCAAAAAACTCCTCCTCTCCTAAAGGATACCCCGCAAGTCTAATTCACGATCCTTTAAGGTGTTGATATAACTTGTTGAACGTTCAATAAGTTCCGGTATTAATTTCATAGTTAACCAACATTGGATGATGCACTTCCTTGATTATTTTAGACGGATGATCAGCCAATGAAATTTTACATATAATTATTATTTTTCGAGTATTATATTTTTTGAAAATTATTTAAATAAATAAATATATTGTATTTGTCATTAATATTATGTACTTAAATAATTTATTTTATATTAAAAAATAATAATTGTTTTTAAAACAATTCAAATTTTCTATTTTAATCAATTTATCGATTTTTATCAAAATTTATTTTGTTATCAAAAAATTTTTTATTTTGATTAAACAATATGTAATTATAAATGTTTTTTAAAAGAATATCTTTAAAATATTATTATAATTTATAATTTATTTTTTGATTAAAAATTAAATACAGTATGCATTTACTGGATATCAGTTTCTCAAAGAATATATTTTTAATGTTGAACATGATCTAATCGCGATTTATGTTTTTGGATACTTTTAATTTACATTATTGTAAAATAAGCCTTAAAGAATTGACTTCGTCTGTTTTAATCAATTTATATACTGAATATAAAGTCAAATTACTAGAGATTAACAATGAAATGCGATCAGAGGTTATTTTTTTAAAAAAAAAATTATTTAAGATCTACTTGGTAAAACTTTTTGAGAAAAAAAAAATTCGAAATAAATATCAAAACGACCTGCTACTAATAACAAAAAATAGGTCAGGTTTGTTTGTTAACTATATACTCCAAATTCTATGTATACTTTTGTTGAAGATTAGATCATTATGATTGCCTGATCGGTTTTGACATTTTGAAAATAATTTCAACAAATAAAATACAACGCAACAAATTACCCTAAGGTGAATCCACATTGAATTTTGCAATGTCCTAAATAATATCTATATCTACAAAACATTTTCACATTTTTGAACACAGAGAATAGTAAAATAAACAATATCGGCAATAAAAAATAAAGGGTTTTAAGTCTAAAAATAAATTTTAAGGTAAATAGCTTAATCTAAATGCGCGATATAAATATCAAAGGATTAAGTGCGAAGTTGCACGTATGAGCATTAGACTCGAAGAAATTATCCAACCTAACCGGGCGCAATTAAAGATTAATCTACCATATAAATTTGTAAAAATTCACCTGTGTACAGTGGAATATCACCCTTCCCCATACGACTGAATGGAAAGATCTATTAAAGAATAGGGAAAGCTCCAACCTGTAACTTAGCTTCTCCGCCAAAGCTGTGTTATTTTGCGTCTCAATTCAGAGATAACCCGTTCTTTAGATTCTAAAAGTCCATCTAATTCATCAAGATACTGTTCAAAAGCTCCAACGGTAATCTCATGTGTTCCGCCCATATCACTATTAGAGTTCATTCCTAGGGTAAAATTAGCCAAGAGTTTCGTTTCTTGTTTACCAGTGTCACTAACGTCTCTGAGCGTTTGACGATGTCTTTTTAAAAAATCTTCCATTTCTTGATGTGTGATAGAATGTGATGAATTATCTGAGGGCCGTGACGTATTTATAGCCGAAGAACTGTAATCTGGTGATGAAGAGTACGAAGACGATGCTTGAATATGAGAAGGAATCGTCGTCGATGTGTTTCGACCCGAGATTGGAGATTCAGTAATGGTCAAAGTAGACATCATATCCGATGAGTCTTTGTCATTTTCGAATGAACTGGAAATTGCACCAGGATTATCGCTAATAAAGTCATCATCATCAATACCATCTGATGGCATTTCCTCACCAAACAAGTCATGATCTTCATCACTGGGAAACTCTTCTTCAAAGAAATCAGATACTTCCTCGTCACCAAACACTTGATCGTCATCATCATAACCCTCATCCACATCGTCATACACTCCATAATTTTCATAATTTACATAATCGCCCTCTGCTTCCAATTTTGCTTGAGCCTCACTATAATATTGCTGTCGTTGTTCATCAGTTAACCCACGAAGTTCGTTAGCTGCTAACTCGAGACCAGCGGCTACACGATCAGCACGATCTCGTTCCGATTTAAGTTCTTTTACTCTAATAATTAATTATTAAACATGCGTTGATATTCAAGAAATGCTTACAAGCATGAAAGCAGTAAATGAACATATCACACACCTGTCTGCGTATCTCAGTGTATTAAGGGTGTGCTCACTGTTTGAAATATTCGGGGATATTGTTGCAATCATGCAAGTTCGCGAATTCCCAACAAAAGAATCCTTCAATACCTGTATATATCAACAACACACAGTAAGCTTAAAGAAATTTAAAATAAATTTAACGTTTATATTACAACATGCCTGCGTAAGTTTACTTTGACGGAAGGGTGTGTGCCTTTTATCCTGATCTAATGCACGAATACATTCTTTCAGCGCCAATAAACTTTTATTAATTTCAGCACCTTCCATCCTAAAATCATTATTTTACAATATAAAATTGTGAGCAAATGTGATGAAAAGTAGATGCTTAAACTCAACGTAATATAAAGCGTGCCTCGTCTGTTTATCTGCATCTCCTCGATCGGCACCGCGTTCGCTGCCCGCTAAGTCGATAAAACTCAGCTTGCCTAACAGGGTTTAGACATCCTTATAAGCTAAAGTTAACATAAAGTAGTTTAAAGTATTGTTGAAAGATACCATGAAACTTTTTTCTGTTTTTCTTATGTTTTAGTACTATTTGCAAGATTGCATGTGACCTAGAAGAATCTGCGTTTGCTCCTGTAGTTCCTGTTACAATTGATAATAACATGCTCGTTCAATTGAATTGCATATGAAAAAAAAAAAAAAAATTCTCAATCTGAGAACTTCCAATTTTACCTGTACTTCGAACCGTATTTCCGTAGTCAAAAACTTGCATAAGAGCATCTACATTATCAATAGAATATTCTTGAAGACCCGCAATTATAACATTTTTTTTTCCATCCTCACGAGCGAATAGTTTTTTTCGTTGATTCAAAAGGTCATATAGTTGTCCTTGATAAATTTCATAAAATCCTATGTATGCCGCTAGGTGATTAAACTCCGGTCGCTGTAATAAATTAAATATATCACGGGCCGCCAAAACATAAAGACCTATAATTATAAATTGTATTGTTAAGAATATGTTGATGCGATTTTACGCATTCTAGGTCTTAAAGGTCCTACCCTGTTTGTCGTCAAGCATAGTATATGTTTTTCCACTTCCTATTAGTATTGTTTATGAAAAACCACCTGAGGTCAGAGACATTACATAAATTTTCCACGATCAAATACAACAGAAGTCACATTAATATACCTGTTTGTCCACTAATCATAAAAAAGAAATTTAATGTTAAAGATATTATATTGGTTGAATTTCACAAGAAATTAAAGAAAATTCAGAACAATCCTATAAAGGAATTCGAATAGTACAGGTCAAGGATACTATGCAAAACACGTAGCTTTCCCCCCTCGGAAAATGTATTCTACCAGCGGTAAAGCAGTTCGTTTATACACCTAGAAACATTCAATTATATCGCAAATAAGAATTTGATTTACTATTACATAAAATAATTAAACAATATGTGCTAAATGCATCTACCTCTTCGTTATTTGCCTCATAATCAAACACATCATCAAAAACGAATGCGTGTTGTTCAACGTACTTGGTTAAATCGACTTTTGTTCTAATTGATGTAATAAGGAAATTACGTAAATCATCCTCCTCAATTAACAATGGATAACGATTCGCAAAGACTCTAGAGCATCAACTACATAAAACTCGAGAGTCAACAAAATCTCACTTTGGCTCATTTATAAGAATAGTCCTTGGACCATTCACAGTAGCAATGTCTTTTTCATTTCTTAAGAGCTCTTTCTTGCTGAGTGGACGTTTACGTACACATACTCTGATCTTGTCGTTCAAATTGCTGGCAACGTTTTGCGGTGAAGGTCGAGAGTAAGAATTACCTCTTGATGAATGTCGTGATGGGACACCGTACGCGTTTAATTGACGCCGGTTCGGTGAATTAAATAGGATATCTTCTTCTTCCTCCTCCTCTTCTTCTTCTTGTTGCTGCATTACTTGTGGTCTAGCTCCAACAAATGGTGATGGTATTCGTGAACGAGCTGACAAAGTAGGAAGTGTGGAAGCACGACCCCGACCATGAGATGGTGAAATTCGTCGTCCAGCTAGTGAAGCATCCATACTACCACAGCAATAGATCAGAAATACGGATAACAGAGGTTGTTGAAAATAAAAAAATAGAATGGACTTCAATTTCAATTCGGTGACTATTAGGGAGAAGCCCGTCTTTCTAATGTAAACAAATTCTTGGTTCGTGATAATATTGATCGTCCAATCATCGACTTTGTTACACTACATGGTGTACTGCGTTATTGTTGTATATGGAATAAATTAGTCCAGGGGTCAAGCTTATGCGCATAGGGCGTACAATAAATAAGCCAAAAATTAATACGTAGATAAGAATGATTAGAATATATATATATATATATATTGAATTATAGTTTTAAAATATAAAACTTTATCACAATTATATGAAGTCTTTTTTTCGCAACTATCTACAGCCTCGCCTCATCAAGTTTCTCTGTCTCTGAATATTAAATCGTTGTTGCTGTTCTTCTCCAAAGTCATCAAAGAAACGAAATTTAGCCCAATAATATAACATATAGCGAAGGATAAAAAAATCATGAAATGTATGTTCGAGAAATAAAAGTTAATAACGAAAAAGAATTGGACGGGTACTGCTTCTCTTTCTTGACTGTTGGTAAAATCGTGTGATGACCATCGGTTTAAGTTTATAATATGTATTGGTTTGGGAGATCCAAAAAATAGAACTTGTCATCAAAACTTAAACGCATCATCAAGATATTCAGTGTTTGGCCCTGACTAGTCCAAACAAGACTAGTGTTTTATCTCAAAGATATTGCAAGTCAAAATAGAACCTTTGATTACGTATATCTGAATCCCAGTTGTGAAAGTAAGCATAGATTACATCATAGAAATATTAGAATCGTCATCTGTATTGGATGAAGCAGAATTCGATTAGCGGGTGCCTACCACGTGTTTTTTAGTGCAAATTTCATAGACCAAGTCCGGCAGTGCAATTTTTATGGTTAAAACGGTAAAGAATTAATGAGAGAATTAAAATTCGCTTGAAATACACGATTATTTTTAATAACATTGTGAACTTTTTGTAATTGTTAGCAAGGAAAGAAATGTGTTGTCTAAAGTGACAAGAGGTTAACCTCGCTTTTGTTTCGTCAACATTCTGTAAATTTGTTAAAATATTCTGTTGATATGTTTATTTTAAACAGAATAAATTAAATAAAAATATTATATTTGCAAATTTTTATTTATTTATTTTTCAAAAAACCATTACATAAAGTTTTTTAAATTTTTCATATAATCAAAAATAAAATATAGAAATATACAACTTATAAATCTAAATACAATATATTAAATTTTAAACATATATTAATAATGAATATAAAAGTATATTTTTAAAATGAAAAAATTTTATATTTTTCTTATAATAAATAATAAATTTTAATAAATGTTTAAAAAATTAAGTTAATATACTATATATATATATACATATTTTTAAAAAGAGCAAATGGCTATTACACTTTATTTTATTTATTATATTTTCACTTGCAAAACAAGATACAATATCAATAACATAACATATGTCTTTCTTTGCTAGAAAGAGTTTAATGCAAGGCTTCAAAATGGGCCCAATCCCTATGCTCTTTTGGTACCATTCAAGAAATACAGAAAAAAAAAATTCAAAAATCTATATTATTATCTTGAATAGTGTCTAGCTACTTAAAAATAAATAAATACTTAATTATATGAAGACACTGTAATCAATCTATACAGGTTGGCCTCCAAGTCATGATTAGGATTGGCACACCTGCTTTTCAAATATGGCTTGATGTATAGCAAGCAGAGTAATATTGGAGGTGATAAGAAGTAAGTACCTTTTTGCATAAAGATGCTGCATCCACTTTATATATGTTTGCTTTCAAGTCACAAAAAGAATTTAGCACACTTATACTTCAAGTGTAGTGGAAGTGTCTTATAAGTGAAGTTCTTATTAATTTTTTTAATGATGTTAAAACCTAACCTTATACAATAAATCTATATTGTTTGAGAGGTAAACAAGGAATTTCTATTATTGTTACCAGCTTATTTTTAGAAATAATTAAAATTTTTGATCATTATGTATTACCTATTAAGTTCTTCAATCACTAGTATAACACTTGCAACTAACCTAACTTATTATTAGTTATATTAATATTGGCTGCCATTTTACTCTGGATACTGTAGGCATAACTCCTTGAATACTTTCAGATAATAATAGTTATACAAAGATTTCTTGAGCATATTTAGTCTAACTATTGATCAGTAAATAATACCAAGTTTGATAATGATGACCATGTTAATCTTTTGAAAGGAGTAAACCATCTATCTATTTTCCGAAAGATCATAAAAGAGAGAAAATTTTTTAAAACCTATATCTTAAGAAAGATTATCACTTCTTAATATAGTTCTTGAGAAAAAGAAGTTAACTGGCCAGAGGAATGATATTATGGAGACAGAGTTTTCAAGAAAAAAAGAGAGACCTAAAGAGAAAAACCTTTAAGAAAAAGGAAAACCTAGCTTCAGTAGAAAAAAAAAGGAAAAGAGAAAGAGAAGAAGTATAAGATAAAAAATATATATAAAAGAGAAAGAGAAAATAGAAAAAGAGAAATAAAAAAATATAGAAAGTAAAGTGTGAGGAAAAAGAAAAGGAGAAGATAAAAAAAAAGTAAACAATTCAAAAATTTTCTAAAAAGGAAATTTTCAAGTATAGAAGGGAAAATAGAAAAGAGTTTTTTTTTTTTTTTAATTTATATTTATTTTTTTTTTGTTTTTTTTTTTTTTTCTGGCGGGTTTTT